CTTCTATGTCTCTTTTCTCCTTTGCTTCTGCCTTCTAGTGACTTACAATTTAAAATTGTTTTACTAGACTTTGCTTGGCTTTTTTCTTGTTCAATGCATCGTCACCAGATTGCACCTGTTTTGTTTGTGGTGAGGCTTACGTCTCAAAACGTTTTGAGGCTTACGCCTCTCCTCATGACAAAAAAAGCCTCGGTACCCGTTTACGTTTTTTCAAACTATGCATATCTTCAAAATTTTCAAAATTTTCCCTGTTTACTTGTGAATATACATAGACACTTACCTTATTTTATTAACAGCTTATCCTTTTTTGGGATTGCATTTGAAGCCATTACAAGTTACAGTGCTATCAATTTGCTCTTAACCGAATAAACACTGAAATATGTTTGTTGGCTCTATTTATTTTTTAACAGGAGGATAATTATCTTTGAAAATTTACGCTTGGAAGCTATGTTCAGTCTTTCTATGTGAATATTGGTATGAGGATTTGCAATGTTTCCTTTCCTACTGGATGATCAAAGCTATACATATGACGGGCTTTTGATCATAGAGGGATGCATCTGTTAAAAGTAGCTATAAAATTCAGTATCACGCCACCTTTATGCCGCTTCAACAGTACTCATATGGAGTAATAAGGCATATAAAATTGACCACGCTTTATGCCTGATAATCTTCAAATTATTTTTCCATACAGAGGTGCAGAGGTTGATGTCAAAAGACTACCAAAACGTCCAGCTCCTCTACACTTTGGTCGGAAATTAACTGAGTCTCAAAAGGCGAGGCTCACTTCGACATCATAAGCTTTTTCATACATGTATTTTCTGTTTCTCAATAAGTAAACTGGTTCAAACGTCTTTCAGGCTCGAGCAACTCATATATGCATTGATTGTGGATTCATATATACCTTGCAAAAATCTTTTGATGAGCAGGCAAGCTTTCTCCCCTCCTCTCTTCGATATTTTATCTTAGTAACAAGTACCTTATATGATGCTTACAAATACATCACGGTCAGAATCGTTTACACGAGCAACCAATTGATCTCTAATAAAATTCTTGTTGGACTAAATCTTATGACGCAGCCGGAAGATTACACCTGTCCACAGTGTAGAGCACCGAAGAAGAGGTTTGCGCGATATGACGTTGAAACGGGAAAGGCTATCGGCGGAGGACTGCCTCCTATTGGAGTCATCATTGGGCTTGTAGCAGGTATTGGTGGAGTCGGAGCATTTTTAGTTTATGGGCTGCAGTGATAACTTTGAATTTTGCTACAATTTTTTTCCCTAACAATGTAAATCCCTTGTTTGTTCTTCATGTATTATTTCAAAAGAGATGAAAGGCAGATAATTTTGATGTGCTTCAAAATTTGTGAATATGGTTTTCTTTCATTCAATAGCGTTTGTTTCACATGACGTATAATGTTCAGAGCACTACTCATCTTCAAAAATATGTAGAGCTTGTTTGAGAGGGATTTTAATCCAATTAAAATTGAAAATATAACTGTTATTGAGTTTCACTCGTCTAATAAAAGTCAACAATAACGGATAGTTTTTCAATTTTAATCCGATTTTAATCTCTACCAAACACACTCACAATGTAATCTACAGAATAAATTGAAGATGCTTTGATATTCTAATTATTTCAGGCCTTTTGTTATTTTTGAAATTGATTGCGAATAACGGATAGTTTTTCAATTTTAATTCGATTTTAATCCCTCCCAAATAAGCTCTTACTCCATTTGCCTGATATCGAGATACGAAAAAGTCGACGAGCAAATTAGGATTCAACACATGTAAAAAATGGAGAGATTTTTCAGTGCTAAAAAGGGAAGAAAAAAATAAATAAAGCTCACAATAAATAAATACATGTCAAAATACGATTGTGTATTCATCTATATAAAATCTACATTATGTATTTCTATCCCTAGAGCACATCAAAGCACCACTCTCTTGTGCATACAAAGCCCAGCCAAACATACATCCTTCAAAACATCCTATGATTCTGCATTTCATATTCAATCCGTTCTAAAGGGTTTCAACCTGAAACAAATACAAAGATGGAGCTTTTCTTTGATGGAGCTTTCGAAGAGAAGTACGGTTTGATTTGGGGGTCATATGATTATTTCTCTCTAAGAATTTACATAAGGCTAATGGCGATTACCTTCTATTATTTCACAGTCAGTATCAGAAATCAGAACTTCATTACTGATGGCGCCCAGCCAACTCCTCATGTAACCTACTGAATACCAGCTTAACAGGTATACAAGCTACAGTTGCAGGGGTTTTCATCAGCCCTTCTGCTTCATAATTGTTGCTTCCCCCTTGTTGATCAATACTACGTTTTGATTCTGAAGCAATCGAAGAAAGAGTTCTCGTCTTCTGGTTGGAAGACGGACTAATTTTTGTCGGTGAATTTCTTGGAGATCTCCTGTCCAAATGTTGGTGGTGTCCAAATGGGATTCTTTTGTATTGGTCAACAACTTCTTGAAGAACTGGTTTACTTTCACTACTCATCGCTGAGGACACATGTGGGCGTGGAACCCGAAAATTCGCTGTTCTACGAGCAGTCCTCCATACAGGTGTAAGCGCTGTATGATTCTCCGATGTTTCAGGATAAAAACGATCAGTTGCAAGAAGAAGGTTTTCTGAGGAACCACTTTCAAGAGCTTCAATTTGGATTGGGTGCCCTATTATAGCATGTCCATTTAGCTTACTCTGCAATGAAATAAGAGGGACATCTCTTCTGTAGTTGTTTGCCTGAACCTTCAAATCCACGTCCAACAACATGGTCCTTCCACCAAAATGATGCTGAGCAGCTAAAGGATCGATTGAATCATCCCAATATCCTCTCATGGATGAGCGATCATTCCAAGCCAAGCCATCTGGTAGACCTGTAGATCCATATCCAGGCATGCTAGTCCTAAAACTTCTCTCAATCAAATCAGATTTTTTACCACTACTGCTCCAATTTGACTTTCTTCCATGTATATATCCTCCAGAAACTTCTGCATCAGTCCTCTTCATAAGACCACGGTTATTCCTTTTCCCTTTCAGCTGCCACCTGGACACCCCCATGCTAGCTGAGGGTGGGTTGTTGTGAAAAGAACCGGGGGTGTCATCTCCAAATTCCAGTTCATCGAGGTCGTCACTGCTCATGCTTCCATGTCCTTGTTCTTCAGTTCTTCTTGGATATTTGGGTTGTAATTCTATAGACGCAGAACCATCTAGAAACCAAAACCCTTAAGTTAGCACACAAAATCCCCCCTTCTTTGATTGAAGGAACAGACAAACAAGATAAAGTCATAATCACCGGAACAAGCAATGACAGGTCAATTCTTAGAGTACAGTGTCATGCATTTTGGACGAATAAGATGTTTATTCAGTTGTCCGATAATCATCATGTGTACATAAAGGAGTAATATCAGGTGATATTCGTAGCCATGTAGTAATATTAAGCAAATATAATCCAAGGTACAAAAGAAAAACTACAATGATAAAATTTTGGCCCCCTCCAAATTCACTTAAAAGATAATACAGAAATGTAATTTCCTGGTTATCAGAACAAGAAATTAAAATGTCAGGGTGTGAGCAAGACTTGCATAGAGATGCAATGACATAAATGACCAGAGAAGAATGAAAAACTGATAGCCCCACTTAAAGTGGATGACCGTGCATGGTATTCTGAAAGCATGACAGTGAGAACAAATTTAACATGCTATAGCATGAAAGGATTAACGACGCTGACTCAAAGGGAAATGCAAATAGACAAAATCTAACCAGAAAGAGCAGTCATCTCGTCATCAGAATCTGATTCCAGAGTATCGGTCTCAGAAGAATCGGTTTCAGTATCCTCTGTGGACTCAGAAGTGTGCTCTTCACCATAATCAGCAGAATGTCGGTTAAAACTTTCTTCAAACTTGGAAACTGATGTTTCCATCTGAGATTCTGGAACTGGTAATTTTGCACTATTCTCCAGTACCTGAATAAGAGGGCGCTGTCTGTGCCTCTTGACAATGGATAAATCAGCCAAGCTTTCATCCAACCTTTTCCTATTGTCTGACACATTTTCTATATTGGGGTCAATTTTACAGTCTGCTGAAAAAGCATCATTAGGGAGTGCAGGAGTGCTGCAAACAACAGGAGCTTTAGGATAAACATTTGAATCTACAGCAGGAGAAAGCTTATGCACTTGCGGAGCACTCCGAAGACCAATGTCCTGCAATCCTCTCATACGGGGTAGTATACCAGCATTATAATCATCTCCTCTCAGTTGGTTTCCCTCTCTGACTTTATCTCCATGCATATGATTTGCCACATGGTTCTCTGCAACTGTCATACCAAGCCTCTCAGAAACTTGAAGAGATCTGGGATCTATCTGATTTCCACTTCCATTTTCATAGTGACCAGAATAAGTGACATCTTCAGACTTCTTGTTCTTATCATTAGAAGCATAACCCACTTTCCCACTTTTCTCAAATAATTGCCTCTCGAGTTCAAGAGCATGGAGGATTGCATCTTCCCGACGTGCATATTTCTCTCTTTTCTTTGGAGGCATGCCCTGAGAAGCTTCAGCCCTTTCTATACACTCATCAAACTCGCCACACCGAAACGCCTTCACACGTTTAGACTTCTCCAGATTGTACCAGTCACTGGGAGTACACAGCCATAAACATTGTAACACATAAACAGCTAAGCGAAAAGAATTACAAAATAATGATTTCTTCTGGTCGAGTGAAAATCTACATATTAACTTAGAAATAATTAGTTATTATGAGAACCGCTGACTTCCATATTTTACAGAAAATAAATGAATTGCAAATGGCAGCACAATCAGCGATGACAAGTTGTATATGTTCCTTACAGAAGTTATACAGAAAGTTATTCAAAGAAATGGTAACACCACTACTAGACTTTGGGCTACTTTAACAATCACATTTCTAATCGTTTGAGTATTAGATTTGTACTCAAATGGTCCTTCCATTTAGTTCATGAATGAACTTATAAGACAACGTGAGTCTACGGGCATTTAACATCTCAACTACAGACGTGAAATTTTAAGGGATTAAATCATTGAAACATGGAGAACAGCAAGTTTCAAGACCTCAAAACTCTGTAAATGAAGAGAGAATTTCCCCAAATACCACTTATTCTGCTCAGAGGTTTTCTTGTCTTCTATCTTTGAATTATATCTATGATCTCCACTTCTACAGTTCTACACACTCAATTAAGGCATTTGCCATCTAGCAAAGGCCATTTTCCAGTGAATAGATTCCTCGTCCGTTCTAGTAAGTTTTTTTATTTCAATATTCATTTTCATTATCATTACAGTAGTCACTTTGTTATTCGATAATAATAATAACCTAAAGGAAGATGCAAATACAAAAGGTTTCAAGCTCTCCCTACAAGGCCTAATCTATGAGCAAGAAAAACAAGCTTCATGCACAACAACGCTGGTTACGGCAGCTGTAAAGATGGTCACATAGACTGCATCTTTCAACCATAAAATTAAAAAACAAAGTATTATTTCCCCACAAATTTTGGGTCAGCTACATAATTACTTTTTCGTAGATCCATTCAGTTCATCACTAAATCTACTAGAATATACAAAGCAAGATGATCCTTGGCAACCACACTATATCATTTAGTTTTGGCGTGCTCTAACTTGTTCATATTTCTTCTACATCTTTCCACTCATTAATTTTGCTTTTGTTTTCCAAATCACCACGCTATTGTTGCACATTATCCTTAATCATGCAATTTTTGCACATTATTCAATGTACCCCTGATGTGCGTGTATCTGTGTGGCTTAAGATCATGTCCCTAGTCCTACACCATTACAATTTCACCTGATATCCAGTCTTGAAAAACTTTATAATCAACTACAGGCTTCATGTTTGGACTAAAGATATGCTGTTATCACTCCAACAAAGTGACTAAAGTGAGATAAAAAAGAAGCAAAACACAACATGAATCAGCTAAAACCCTAATTGGCTAATTCAGTTTCTAAGGCTTGAAAATCATCATTCAAATGTACGCAGAAGAATGCACCTCACACAAACATACCTAAAACCAAAGTGAGAGCACGAGTGGAGTGGAGTGGAGTGGGAGTGGGAGTGGGAGTGGGAGACCGAGACAAGAGCAGCAGTTTTTGAAGAAAGCGCCCAAAATAAAAATGTTACTTTTTTTTAAATGAAAATAAATTCAACAAATATAATAGTTTATCCATATTCTTTACGTGTAGTATGCCAGCTTAGTGGTTCTGTAAGTTTGTCATAATTCAGTTCGTGCTAAGGTAGAGGAGTCCATGCTTCTTGGAAGCTTCACCTTAAATCTTTAACTGAAACAAAAGGAATCCCAGGCCTCATATACATGTGTTGGCAGAGAAAGGAAAATACCTTCCAAATGATCCCAAAAAAAAATGTGGAGAAGTATCACCTCAAGGTTCACACTTCACACCATGAAAACTACATGAGATCATGGACATCTTATAAACTAAAGCAATTTGTAAATTGGTCAGATCAAAATAAGAATCCAACACCTGAATTCTTTCCAAGAATTCCAAATTATGCTCAACACTTAACATTTTAAATTTTAAGGTCTTTCATTCAATAAAAATTTCCCTTAAAAGTTACACAAGTTTCGAAATTGTGGATAAGGGATACTAACAGGAGAGGAGAAGTAATCAGTCAAAGATGATAAGCAAGCAGATAAGTAACATATATACGATTTCTATATCCTTTGGCCTACATTATATGTCCAGGTAGTATCAGAAAATTACAAACAGACAAACTCATTTATCAAAGGTTATTCCTCATTTACAAACAGCAAAATAATGTGCTGCTGAAGCATGGCTGGTGTTACAATAAATATCAAATCATCTAAGTGAAATTTCAGTAATTTTGTTTCCCTTGTCTTGTGCGTGAAAATTCAATTCAGGCCAACAATTAGCAATGACGAAAGAAATATAATTCATCATTCTAAATCCAACAATAACCAGGTGCAGCCGCAAAAATCACAGCTATACCACAACAAATGTAGTAGAAAAATGTCAACCAAAAAGCAATTTTGAGTTCATGTGCAGACTTACACACTTGCATCTTCCCTTCCAAGAAGCTTAACCGGAGTTCCGGACCGTGGAGACGTTATATGGGATGCCGAGAGCTCTTCAGTCCCTATTATCTTTCCTGGCCACCAAGACCCATTTCGCCTCCGGACCCACACTATACTCCCCACGCTGCAATCCACTCCTCCAGTTTCCGAACTCCCCATCTCTCTCTGTATCTGCCCCTTTCACTCTTTATTTATATGCGATACAATGTATACATGTAATTAAATATAAAACGAAAAAAAAAAAAAACCTTTCCTGTTTTATTATTTTTGTACTCGAGAACAAAATTATTCTACAGATGCATAACGGAAAATAAAATCTCTACACTAATTATTAACGAATACAAAAATTAGGAAAAAAAGGAAAGGAACTACGGGAAAATGAGAAAGGACCAAATATTTTGATCTGATGATCACGAGAAAAAAATTGAGGTTTTAATTAACTAATTACCGGATAAGAAGAAAGAGACATTGAATTTAGCATAGAGAATTGAACGAAGGGACGATCCGAGTAAACCAATTGGCGCTAGTACTAGAGCTAGGGTTAGGGTTAGGGTTTCCATCAGATATTAGGGGAATTTCATATTTCTGGGACCTTTTCGTGAAATTACAGATCGGGAGACGATTCATGTAATCGTTGGTGTTGACTCAGTGTGGGGTGTACGAGTTGTGTATCCCATACGCTACGCCTAGGAGGCTCACTTTAGCAAAAGGAGATGATGTGTACGGGTTTTGGGCCTTCAGTTTCAACGGGTTTGGGCCTTTAGTTTGAATACAAAACAGCCCATATGAGGGCACTTTTCATTTTTATTTTATTTTTTTAAAGGGGAAAATTAAGTCACTTATGGCTTAAAAGTTAAAAAATTTAAAAATACGGTCAATAAGGGGTTGTTCTCTTTTTGTTTAAGTTTTATGTTTTAAGTTTTGAATTCATTCATTTTGAGTTTTGTGTTTCGAGTGTCTATTTTGAGATTGTTGAAAATGTGTTCTTTTTGGTATTTTGAAAAATTATTTTAAAAACACCAAAAACGTGTTTTAAAAATTTTAACTTGATAATAACTGAAAACACTCAGAACGACAAATTTGTCATTTTGAGTTTTCTTTGTAAACTTTTAACTTGTGTTCAAAAATGCGTTTTCGAAAATGGGAAAGAAAATGCGTTTTTACTGATTTGAAAAATCAAAAACAGAAAATGACTTGAAAATGGTAAAGAGAACCTGCCCTAAAAGTGTGGAGATCCTTTTTATAGTTAATGGAAGTTGAAACCAATGTAAAATCAAAGTCAATAGAGGGGTTCAATGTAAATTTTTCTGAATTACTTTTTAAATTTTTTAAACTTTTTTTGTTAAAAAAATACTTATGGTTCAATGTAAAGTCTCAAATTTTCATCCTATTTTTATATTTAATTATACGAGCGAAATAAGTCATTTTGTCGTAAAATGTACACATGCAACCTATATTTTTTTTATAAAAAGCGTTTGTATTACTTATAGTAAATAAGTTGATGCACGTATACATTTATTTTAATAAATTGAAATTATTTCTGCACAAATCATTCGTATTCATACGATGAGTTTTGTGTTTGCATGAAATAAATAAATTAGTTCTTAAA